CTTGTAGGTCTATTGTTGACCTTCTCGGCCCTCTTCACAGTAGGGCTCCCAGGTCTCCTCCTCTAACACGTCAACTCACTCCACTGAGTCAGTGTGCAGGGGCAGCTCCCCACACGGGGGCCACCACCACCCATCTTTCTCTACCTCTCCGCTTCTCCCACAGCCTGCCCTAGGCTGCCAGGGACTTCCTTCCAGTCCTGTCTTTGGACCGGTGCACAGGGCTTTTATTGGTGCTGGCATGTACTTACAAAGTACATCCACGCTGGCACCAGCGTTTTTTCTTTGTCCCGTCTCTGGGCTCCTTCTGGCTGCAGCGTGGGATGCCACTGGGTTGATGGTAAGTTTTGTGGTGCACTGAACCTGCCACCGCCATCCTGCTCCTGCGTCCAAGGGTGCTGGGCTGTTGCCAGCATGGTCATTCTGCCCCTGACAGCGCAGCCATTCTGCCCCCTGCTTCCTGCAGCTCTGCATGCTCTGCTGGTGGTGAAGTGCATGATGCTGCCATGCTCCTGTGGCTCAGGGTCTGGTGATACTGCTGGCGAGTTCAGTGGTGTGGGGCTTTTGCCATTGCCACCAGATCCCTGCAGCTTGGCCTTTCCTTTGCCCCCACTACATTACCACTAAGCAACATCTTAGTGAATCATTTATTCTCATTACTGAGGTCTAGATATATTCATGGATAAGGTATATACAATCTACTGGAATGAAATGGAAATATATCAGGGCATTCTCTCCTTTATACTGTAAAAAAAAAAGGAAAGAAAGAAAGCTTGCAAGCAAGTAAGCAAGCATCTGGCTGTTGCCAGAGAAATTGTCTATAAACTATGTTTTTAATGCTACTGCCCTGCTCCTCTAATGTTTCAGGTATATTCTTAGTCTACAACATATTCATTTTATAAATAATTTAAAATGTGCCCAATGCAAAATTTCTGGATATATAAACAATACCAAAGAACCCTACACAAATCATATTGAACAACAAATTGTCTTTTTGTTTCTTTGTGAATTTGTACACATCTGTTTTGCATGATTGCTTCTTTAAGACTACGGTTCCTCCCTCTCCTCTTTATGTCTAGCCTTTTTAATTGCATTTTAATAATTTATTTTAAAACTGTTCCTATGCATAAGTCTCACTTTGAATGGAAGGTAGGCTTGAGAGGAGTATGAGATTTTTTTTTTCTTTTTAAACGAGTGCCCTCTCACTACCACCATCATATATACTGTCCCATCAAGTTTTATAAGGCAGGAATCCACCAACTGAACTAAGGGCAACTCCATTAGCATCATTATTAAGCTGTTAGGGCATTTATACACATATATTTGTCTGCTCCAATGCACTGGAGATCTGCACATGAGTTAAGGAGCATGGCACTACATTGCATGTGTTTGTATAATTGGCAAAATGTTCATTAGTGCTGAGAAAATGGCAGTGGTACGCTTTTGAACAAAAACACCTTTGATGTGTTTTACTTCAAAAGCACACCACTGCTATTTTCTCAGCACTAACATGCATTTTAAAAGCAGCCAGTGCTGCGGCGCAAACATGCCCTTACTGTACATTTTTCACTGGAGAGGGAAAAAGTTCACATATCCATAATGTTTTACTTGGCAGAAGAATCTTATCCCAAGGCTCTGATGCCTTTAAGAGGTCCACATGCCTGTAGAGGTTATGCCTTTGTAATGACCTCCAACAATAGTCTGTCAGTAGGGATGGAAACTGGTACTTTTAGTATTGAAAACATAAGCCTCTACCACCAAACCATGGTGATCCCAACCTGGGGAAAGCGTAGGGAGCAGAATCTGCTTCATTTACCTTATTTCCAGGGGGACTGGAGCATTGGGGCAAAGTCCCCTGCCTGCCCCTCACATTGGACACCCCTTTGTGAGGAGTAGGAGGTGGCTACTTCTCTGCTTTGCTTCTCATAACCAGGACCCAAGCAGACTGAGCAGTGTGACAAACCTGTTGCTTGCTCTTCACACAGGGGACCTGGTATGTTCCCCTTCTTCCTATTTATGGGAGGGGTGGGAGCAGCTTCCCATGTATCTTCTCCAGATTAGAGTGACCCATTTCTGGAAAGCACGAGAAGCATTTCCTAGGTGCCCAGCTTCTCCTCATCCCAGGAAGAGCCAAACAGTTGGAAAGTATACAGGCCTTTGTTCTCCTTAGAGAAACTCTCCCAGAAGTAACTTCTACCAGGTCAGATATGAGTTATTTTTCTCCAAGAACTGCCATTTTTATTCCAGGAAAAACTGTGTAATATCTGTATACTTGTGGTTTCTACCAGGAGAACTGAATGTCTCCCAGTAGAAATATAACACCTGTACGTGGCCAAAGACTGATCACTACAGCTGTGCAAAACAGCACCATTTCATTTTGACTTCCATTTTACCGTTTCAATGGGACAATGTTTCATTTTGATTGCCATTTCATTTTGAAAGCACTGTTCTGTTTCATTTCATTGAAACTGTTTTGCTGCTTCAACACTCTTTTGATGTTTAGCCCATAGGCTATAATGGGGAAGCATGAAACTGCCTATAACGTTGTCATTGTTCGACAGATTTGGATGAAAAGAGCAGGTTTCATAGCCCTTCCTGAGGGCATGAAGCCTACCAAGTTTCAAGGAGATTGACGTTTAGTTTTCCAGAAATTTCTGCACCTAAGTCTTGAAAGAAAAATGTGTGTCACTTGTAAGTGTGAAGGCACAGGGGGGTGAAAGACACAGGAGCCCCTGCTGAGGCCATGAAGCCTGACAGCTTTCAAGGAGATACGTGCAGGGTTTTCTGGGAAACTGCACCTCAACCTGCTGATAAGCAAAACTCATGTCGTGTGTGTGTTACGGCACAGCAGGGTGAAAACTGCAGGGATGGTAGCCCCTACTGAGGTCATGAACCCTGCCAGGTTTCAAGGAGATAGGTGCAGGTATTTCTGGAAAACTGCACCTCAAGCTACTGACAAGCAAAACTCGTGTGTTAGGGCATGTCCTCACTGGTGCTGGGGCCTCTACATGACACGGTAGTGTGTCCCAATGAGGGCTCCTCCGCCCTTGCACCCCCACCCAGTCCACCACTTTAACTAGCAACAGGTATAAAATAAGTGAGTGAGCACTAGCACAATAGCACCAGCAGCATCTCCAGCAGCCAAACTGTGACACAGCCCTTCTTTTGTCTCCTGCAGGAGCTTCTTCTCCAGTGTGTGTGTTAAGGCTCTCCCTCTCTGTGTCCTTCCCCCCTCTTTCCCCTTGCTCTCCTTACTTTCTGTTTCCTTGCAGGCAAGGCCAGCTTTAGCTTTGAAGCACGAAACGTTTCAAAACTTTCAAAATGTTTTGACTGCCCTCGTTTTGTTTTGAGGCTGTTTTAAAGCCCTTTGTTTCATTTCAATTTTGCTGTTTCAAGATGAAACAAAACAGCCAGCAAAAATGTGCACAGCCCTATTGATCACCATTCTGTTCCACAATGCTTTCTTAGAAGTATGAACTTGGAGGGGCGGCGGGTATTTTTTTAGTCATCGTTACTTGTTAATCTGTAGATCTCCCTGTTGCAGGCAATATTCTTCCAATTTTGGTAATATCTGTCTTCTCCTTCCAACTCTGTGTGGCTGAAAAAGAATGTTACTCTTCTGTTTTTGTTGGCCTATCTGTTTTGTAAATCTGAATAAAGTCCTCTTTCTTTTGTTTTGGCTGCTTTCTACTAACTTGATGCTTGGTATGAAGGCTTTTATTATATTATTGCATTACCTTGTTTCTTATAAAGGGATGCTGCCACTTGGTTCAGAACAGCTTCAATGAGTTACATTTTAGTGTCAAGCAGGTGGGCAAGGGCTTCTGTATTTTATTTATCTATCTATTTATTTATTTTACATTCTCTACTTTGTTACTCAAACACTTGAGGACATTGAATTTAGGACTCTGTGATATTTTTGTTCTGTTCCTAAAAAGTCATCCTCATTTTGGAATGGGGGGATTGGGGGAGATCACCAATTTATCAGTCATTTTTGGCATGGCTCAGAACAGTAGTAGTGAAACAATAAGATAAAGCCATGTTGCACTCTTTTCCATTAAAAACAATTGTGTTTGTCAAATGGAAAAGGTAAAAGCCAGCAGGAAAAAAGGAGTTAATTGCAAGTGCCTAACATGGGATTATAAGCAAATGAACACCAGTTTTAAGAAAATATATATGGTAAGTCTAAGGGAAAATTCTCAGATGTGTATTCATTATGTAGTTTGTGCTTCACCCTAAGGTCCCAATCCTGATGCTGAATTACTTTCACTGGAATGCCAAAGGGAGTGGAAGGAGCCCACTTGAATACATAAGTGGTTGGAACCTTACCGACACAATCCATATATCTCCACTGGTTTTCAAATGAGTACAGTTGGAAGCTTTTATTTTCCTTTTTATATTAATAGGAACAAAAATATCTAAAGTATTTTCTTGTTGTGTTTAGGTTATTGGTAGGATTCCCTAATACATGGGAGTGTCTACATGAGATGCTATGTCGCCATACTAATGAACTACAGTGATGTAGCATCTAAAAATAACTGTGTACCGCCAGGACTGCACAGTACTGAGAGGTACTGCACAGTCATTTAGTACTATGCCAAAGCAAGTACTAACTGGCTGTGCAGTACCACATGCGCTGTTAGGGGCATCGTAGATGCGCCCCATGAAGCTCAGGCAGAAATAAGAGATAGGAGAAAGGCCTTTCTCATGTTTATTTCTTCACTCTGATCTCTTCCCAACACAAATCTCGCATTTTGTGTGTCACTCTCTGAAGTTTGGTATCCATGATCATGATCATTATTACAATTTTGTTTGTTAAACTTACCATTGCTTTTAAATCATCTTTATTATAACATGGTAAGTATTTGTTTGGCAATGTGTCAGAATATTACTGGATTGTATTTTATTTTAAGATTATTTTATTTGTGTTACCATCAAATATATGTCCTTTAATTTTTAAGATTTCATTTTATGTTCTTTTTTTCTTTTTCTTTTTTTTTAAGGCCCTGTGGAATTCTCCATATACTGAAGGTTCAGTTTACAAACCCATCAGCATCTCATTGGTTCCGTCATTATTAAATTAAAAAACAACATCTGGACATTCTGCATTTATGGATTTAAATTAAACTCTGTTGAAAATGCCATGAAACTCATTTTACCAGTACTTCCCATGTTTCCCCAACTTAATGAAATTTTATTTCATAATCTTTGCATTATCAAAAAGATCACAAGTATTCTTGAAAATAGTATCTATCTTATCAAATAAATTTATCAGTAAGTTATTTTCAGTAAGTTATCAAGAAAATGTTCATTATTGATAATAAAAATTATTCTTGACATCTGTGTATACTTCTTATCTTTGGCAAACCCAGTATAACTAATGCGATTATGTTCCATTGACCCTTTTGTCTCTGAGTTTATAAATATATATTTTAAAAACCAGAAGTTTATGAAAATGACCCATTAATTTGGACAAGCTTTACTTTCTATCTTGCAGTGATAACAGGCTTTGCATTATCAGTGCACATAAGATCAAGTCATTTCAATATATGGTGAATTAAATGAATATCCATTTTGTTAAACTAAGCATTGTTTTACAAATGTTAGACCAAATTCTGGTCACATTTATTGTTGCATGAAAACTGAGATCAGAATTTGTGCATTTGTGTCTTGTAGACCTAATCCTAGAGTGTAGATTACTTTCCACTTTTTTTATTTCTCAAAAGGGTTCCTGTTTGGAAGGACATCTTATAAGCGTCTTCTGCCACACAAAGAGACTGAACACTGTATTCAGAGGCCATAATTGCATAGATGATCATTTTTTTTAAAAGTGTAAATTGAGAAAGGTGCCTGGCTTAAAAAAACAAAACAAAAGACAAAAACAAAAACCCTTCCCCGAAGTTTGGGTATATTAGCCAAGAAACCAGATATCAGCAATAAGGTTAAGGTTGCAAAGTTCAGCTCAAATATTTTTACTCCAGTTTTAGCTACTTTTAAGTTTCCTTATCTAGTAGTCCCTGCTTTTTTCCCCTTTAACCTCACTTAGGGTAGCAGGACCTTATACCAGCCATATCCTCTTAGCCCCTTTCCTAGCAGGATCGTCATCTGATAAGAGGATTTAGATCTCAGACAAATATTTATATACTGTATTTCCCTGAATATAAGACAAGGTTTCCGCCCCCTCAATTAGCATGGGGAAAAATGGGCCCTTGTCTTATAATTAGTTACATACAAGGAAATGTCACTAAATACATTGTCTATCATTAAATTGCTGCCAAAAGCAACATGTGCTCAGCAATGGAAGCCAACTATGAAGTTGATTAAACTCAGTCAACACTGAGCATAACTATAAAATACATGGCCCACATTGGTCAAACATGATAATGGGAACCTATAGCAAGAGTAGATTAGTGTAATCCATCGAATTAAGACATATGGTAGTGCCTATTAAGTGCAGTCCTCTTCACCGCTAACTCATCTTCAAGTCCTGGTGAGCTATGACATTGTGTGCAGTTCACCCAGAAGCCTTCTTTTGCACCCTCTCTCAGCCTGACCCATATGGTTAGTGTGGCCCCAACCTCCATGACCTGAAGCCGGACCAGGATGCCCTGTGCCTCATCTCCATATACATTTTTGGAGCATTCCAGGACTTCTGACAAGACCACCCAGTTCCAGTCATGAGTGGGGATTAATTAGGATCCTTTGTGTGGTGTATCTGGAGTGCACACACATGCTAAGCAGTTCTGTGCATAATGCAGTTTTCAGATTAGTAGTTATTTAGAATGTAGGGTCCTGAATTTGATGTGAAGGATATTTTATACATATATAAATAAAAATCTCACCATTTCAAAATAAGCACACTTGAAATGAATGTAAATTTTATAAAAATAAACTAAATGACCCATCAAGAACAAAGACATTTTTTGTCTTGTACATAGTTTTATGTAATCAAATATGTTACTTGACTTTGACGTATGGGCTGTATGTTATAGCCAATACAATAACGTTTTTTATTGATCAGTTTTTTTTTTCCTTTCATTTGATCTTCAGATTATTTTTGAATACATACATGCTTACCTACCTTATTCCACTTGTTAAAAAGACCAAACACCAAAGGAATCACAAAGGCATAATTAATCAATATAAGTGAAATGTTTACCAGCTGATTATTAATGGATTCTGTTTTTCAACTACTTCTCTTTCTTTCTTGTCAATTCTCCTCCCTGGTATTTTCTAATAGTCATTTCTGGTCTGAGACTTCACCTTATGTTCCTAGTCATGTCGCCGCCTTCTTTTTTTTTTCTGTCCTCTTGACATTCACCATCTTCATCAGGCCAACAGTATTATTTTTCTGTAGAAGATCTGAAAGAAGAAAAGTGTCAGCAATTTGACACTAGGTTTTGTGCTCTGCCTACACCAGTAGATCTTCTGAGTGGAGACAGATGAGAACAAGTCAAGAAAGGAAGAAAACTGGAAACAAGTGCATTTTTGCTTTAAGATTCCAAGAATTTGGGTAGAGGAAGGGGTGAATTGTGTTTGTTGTCTCATGTTTCATCTGCTTTGTGACCTTTACAAGGTAGTCCATCCATTGAAAAATCTTCAAAGGTTGGGTAAAGGCTCAAATATTTCCATAATCTTCACCTTATAAGTAGGGTGACCAAAAGAAAATCTGGGACATGCGGGACACTGCTCCCACCTTCCCAAGTCAGCAGTGCTGCTGCAGGCAGTGGCAGAGGCACGGGCCATCTGGAGGGGAGGCAGAGCTGCTTGATACACCATGCCACTCTGCCTCCCCACCATGCCCCTGTACTCCATGCCCCTGTGATTCCAGGACTCTCATTTTAATTTTCACCAACAAGCCAGGACGGGACCAGCCTTCAAAATCTGGGACTGTTCCAGCCAGACTGAGACATATGATCGCCCTACTTATAAGGTACATATAGACAGAGCCATCTCTAGGTGGGGGTGGGGGTGTGAATTGGGGCAACCACCCCAGGCCTGCACTTTGGGGGGCCCTGCATAGCTGGACAGAGTGGCCATGGTAATTCTGTGCCTCCGCTGCTAGCTTTGTATCCAGCCAGTCGCTACTCCCCTTCCCCTGCTGGTGCCACCGCCACCGCTGCTGATGGTGGCAGCAGCTTCTTTGGTCCAGGGCACATAGGATCGGACCAGGGGTGGGCCCCTGCATGGGTTGATTTGCCATGGGCCATGCACCCTGTTCAGGTTGGCTCTACATCCAGAGATTTTAAATATTTTTAAGACAGGTTTTTAAAATCTGGCTAGACAAAGTTTTGGCTGGGATGATATAGATGGGAATGGTCCTATTTTGAGCGGGGTTTGGAAAAGATGACCTCCTGAGACCCTTTCCAACCATAATTTTCTATGATTCTATGACTTGGGTAAGTTAGTGGATGTTAGATCCTATTAAAAATGGCCACTTGATCTAACTTAGTTTGCCCATGTGTGTACTTTACATTTCGATCCCTGGTTAGGCCAATCTAAGTGTGAACTGTACAGAAATTTGGGAGGTTAGATCATTCTAAAAATGACCAACCTGATCTAAGCTAACTGTACGTCTGAGGCAGTCTAACTTAGATAGGGTCTGGCTAGCCAAATCTAATTGAAACTCTGTATAGTTCCAATGCAGCCCCAGGGCTGGGAAAAACCCACCACTGGCCCCAACCCCAGGGCTGTGCTTTTCTTACCTTGTCCCTGCCACTGGGCTATTTTTAGCTCCCCAGCCCCTCACCCCAGTTCCAGATGAACAAACCCCTGCCACCCACAGATGAGCCAGCCCCTTCTCCAAGCCTGCCAGTTCCCCATC